TTCCGGGGTGCCTCCTTGTCCACCTCGGGGAGTAGGTGGAGCAGGTACCCCCTTCTCAGAGCTATGGAAATACAGGCTTAGGGAGGGAGGAACCCTGCTCACAGCCACATGGCTTACGAGTGGCCGAGGCGGCACCGGGACCTGGCTCCTCAGAGTCCCCATGTCCCCCCCCCCCCGACCCTGACCCTGACCCTGACCCTGCCCCGAGCCCGGCAGTGGGGCTGAACAAAGGACCTGACCAGACATGCTCAGCCTCGGGACCGAGCAAGGGAGGAGCAGAGTGGATGACAGCAGGTGCCCTGGAAGGAAGGCAGGGTGGGAGCCAAGCTGAGCCCTGGCAGGACAGAAATCCTGTGTCCTTTATACCCCGGCTCCTTGGGATGGGCCCCTCCTGGCTGAGCTCACCTGCTGAGCAGCTGTGATCCCCTCTGTAAGTGGCTCTGAGTGTGACCAATCCCCCAGGGACTGCGCTCCATCCAGCTGGCCTGGGCTCAGCGCCCTGGAAAGGGCAAGGTGGGGACCGCTGGGGGCCTCACGGACAACATGCTCATTGCCCGGGCCCGTCCGCAGGGGAGGGCTGGCATGACCTGGGCTGACATCATCCATAGTCCAGCTCACTCCCTCTCATTTCAGAGACAATTAGCTGCTCAGAGAACCACCTGCCCCGTTGGGAGTGCCTCTAGCCTCCCCCCTACTCTGGCCAGTCCTACCCACACAGCCGATACATTGTTTCCTCTGGTGTGCACTGCTTGGGCTCTGCCTCCATCCACAGCCCTCCATGGCTCCCTGCTGCTTGTACAGCTAGGGATCAGAGTCTGTCTACACAAGGTTGTCCTTCACTTGTGATTGCTCCAGCAAACGACCTGCCTCCTGCCAGTCTCGGCTGATTTTCCCTGTTCTCACTGCTGGTCCATCCATACCTTCTTCCCTTAAAAGACTGGCATCCAAGCTGCCTCCTCCAGGCAGCCCTTGAGGAGTGAGTGGCTCCTGGCCTTGCTTTTCTCCCTGGGTAGCCTTCTCCACTCACCCTGCTGTGTCTGAGGCCTTTTCTCCAGGGCTCATCAGATCCAAGAACACAGAGAGGGGCTACCAGACATCCCAGGCAGAGCCGTGGGGTCACAAACAAATGTGTCAAACAGGTCATTGTCGCAGACACAGAGACAAAAATACGGGGCCGGTGCTGTGGTGCAGCAGGTAAAGCCGCCACCTGTAGTGCCAGCATCCCATGTGGGCGCTGGTTCGAGTCCTGGCTGCTCCACTTCTGATCCAGCTCCCTGTCATGGCCTGGGAAAGCAGTGGAAGATGGCCCAAGACCTTGGGCCCCTGCACCTGCGTGGGAGACCCGGAAGAAGCTCCGGGTTCCTGGCTTCGGATCTGCGGAGCTCTGGCCATTGAGGCCATTTGGGGAGTGAACCAGCACATGGAAGGCCTCTCTCTCTCTCTCTCTCTCTCTGCCTCTCTGTAACTCTGGCTTTCAAAAAAATATTTTTTAAATAAAGAAACAAAAATATAGGGAGGACTAAACATTATTCTTTATAAAACTCTTTTTAAAAGATCATGGAGGGTGCCGGCGCCACGGCTCAATAGGCTAATCCTCCGCCTTGCGGCGCTGGCACACCGGGTTCTAGTCCTGGTCGGGGCGCCGGATTCTGTCCCGGTTGTCCCTCTTCCAGGCCAGCTCTCTGCTGTGGCCAGGGAGTGCAGTGGAGGGTGGCCCAAGTGCTTGGGCCCTGCACCCCATGGGAGACCAGGAGAAGCACCTGGCTCCTGCCATCAGATCAGCACGGTGTGCCGGCTGCAGCGCGCCGGCCGCAGCTCACCGGCCGCGGCAGCCATTGGAGGGTGAACCAACGGCAAAAGGAAGACCTTTCTCTCTGTCTCTCTCTCTCTCACTGTCCACTCTGCCTGTTAAAAAAAAAAAAAAAAAAAAAAAAAAACAGTTCATGGAGGGCCGGCGCCGCAGCTCAACAGGCTAATCCTCCACCTAGCGGCGCTGGCACACCAGGTTCTAGTCCTGGTTGGGGCGCCGGTTCTGTCCCAGTTGCTCCTCTTCCAGTCCAGCTCTCTGTTGTGGCCCGGGAAGGCAGTGGAGGATGGCCCAAGTGCTTGGGCCCTGCACCTGCATGGGAGACCAGGAGGAAGCACCTGGCTCCTGGCTTTAGATCAGCGCAGCACTCCGGCTGTGGCAGCCATTTGGGGGGTGAACCAACAGAAGGAAGACCTTTCTCTCTGTCTCTCTCTCTCTCTCACTGTCTAACTCTGCCTGAAAAAAAAAGTTCATGGAAGATGGATTTAAAGGAAAAGCTTGTTTTGGTGAATTTTGAATTGTATGCATATGAGGGGTCTTCCCAAAGCATAGAAGAAAATGCATATTCTGACAAAAACTTTGCTACAAAACCAGCAGCCGCACAGATGTAGTTTACTGAATCCGCCGGTCGATTTGTCCCTCAGGGTCCCAGCGAGATGTTCCTGCATGGCACGCTGGGGTTTGTCTGATCTGACACACTCCACCCCCAAACCCCCTCCCATACCCCAACCACGGCACAGAGAAATAAAACTGAGGCTGGAGACAGGCACGCCTGGCCAGGCATCGCGCAGGGTTCCATTCTCACCCGGAAAGTGGAGCCTTCTCTTACAGGCATGAAGCGTAGATAAAGCAGACACCTGCTTGGTCACCTGCCCGCCCCCACCAAGCCAAGGGCTCCCCCTCCCCAAAGCAGAGGGCTCCATCTCTCCCTGACCCTGAACTTCCCTCGACCACAGTTCAAGTGGTGGGTGCGGGCATGGCCTTTGCCACCTTGGTGAACTGGGCTCCTGCCCTGGTGTGCTTGAGCCCCTCCCTTTCATCCCCCAGCAAAATGCGGGCACCCTGAAGCCCCACCTAGGCCCACCCTTCCTGTGGGAGGCTCAGGGCTCTCCCATCCCCTATCACCTGGCCTCATCAACAGCACCGGCACCAGCTATTTCATCCCTAATGGCCAGTATCTGATGAGCTAACTCACCCTACGGTGTTAATGACTTGCTAATAGCTGGATGAGCTTGCTATTCCCAGGGACATCTGCACTTGGCAGGGATTCAGGGAGGGAGTTTCTTTGAGGACAGGAAACTTGGGGTAACCCCTCCCGCCCCGTCTTTGAGGGGTGTTCAAGAGCCACGCCCACAGCTGTGAGGGAGCCCTTCTGAGATGCTGGCTGTGACGGCTGTTTCTGACAGTGAGGGTTCAGGATCGAGGGTGGTCCGAGTGCAGAGACACCCCCACCCCTCCTTCCTTGATGGTTATCGTCCGTTGGTCCGTGGTGGCTGTGCAGGTGTGGGCTGATCCAGGCGCTCCTGGCTACAGCCAGGAGCCAGCAGAGGCCCGGCCAGCTCCTTCCTGCTCTTTGCTCCTACCTTGGTCATTGACAGCACTTACTGAGCCTTGGGTACATACCAGGGACACAATCTGCAAGCGAGCTCACACGATCATCACATACATGGAGAGCAGACAGCTGAGGCTCAGAGCGAGCCAGCAGAGTGGCTCAGCTGGGCGATGGGTGGGTGGTGGGGGAGCCTGGTCCCTGGTGTCTAACTCCGGCCTGGAGCCAGCCGGGTGGACGCGGGCTCGGGGGGCCCTACGCTCACCGTTCCTGCTGCTGGGTTGCTTCTCCAACAAGGGACTATCCATGGGTCCTCCTGCACCTGTCATGGGGTGCTCAGAAGCTGGTCTGAGTCTTTTTAAGTATTTATTTATTTACTTGAAAGGCAGAGCTAGAGAGAGAGAGAGAGAGAGAGAGAGAGAGGCCTTCCATGTGCTGATTCACTCCCCAAATGGCCGCAGTAGCCAGAGCTGCACCAATCTGGAATAGGAGCCAGCAGATTCTTTGGGGTCCCCCACATGGGTGCAGGGGCCCAAGCACTTGGGCCATCTTCTACTGCTTTCCCAGACCATAGCAGAGAGCTGGATCAGAAGTGGAGCAGCCGGGACTCGAACCGGCTGGAGAGAAAGGTGGGAAGGAGGCGGGGGAGGGGCAACCTCTGGGAGCTGGGACAAGGATGAAGACAGGGCAGGTGTGATGCCTGCACCCTAGATCAGAGGGCCTGGGTTCGAGTCCCAGCTCCGCTCCCAGTTCCACCTGCTAATGTACCCCCTGGGAGGCAGCAGGTGGAGTGCTTGTGTTCCTGCCATTCATACGTGGGAGACCCAGATGGCTTTAGCCTGGCTCAGCTCTGGCTGTTGTGGGCATTTGGGGTCATGTGAGTCAGACGCAGCAGCCAAGGCCTGTTGCAGCAAGAGAGGCATGGTGCCACCATCCGGGCACCTCTCGGGGTCTTTCTGGCCTGAACCTGCTGGCGGGCTGCACTCATTGGGATGGAGCCCCAGGCTCGCCAGGGTCCTGAGAGTGACAACGGAGTGGAGCCCCGTACACTGGTCTCTCCTGGTCTTGGCAGCTTTTCCATGTGGGAGGAGAGACAAACAAGGTGCAAGAACCACCAAGAGGCATCCGCTCTTGGAAGCTGCAGGCCACGGGAAGTCTCCATCTTCCCCTTGCGTCCTGCCAGCCGAGTCCCCAAGTGTCCCGACCCTCTGCTTCGACTGTACGCTGCGGGCTTCGTCTCCAGGGGGCCTGTGGAGGGGGCGACTGCCTGGGCGGAACAAGGCAGGCGTGGCTAGAATGGGAGCCCCCAGAGATTCCCTGTCCTGTGGCCCGTCCTGTCTGGGGACATCTACACTGTCCCCACCCCAGGAAGAAGTCAGCAGTGCCAGGGACACCCCCTCCTCCCTGAAGGCCCCCTGGGCAAATCGCCCTGTAACAGGTTAATTAGATAAGCCCCAAATTACATGAGCAAGGCTTGCAAGCCCAGCAATTTGGAGGTTTCGTGTTGTTTCGGAGGTGGGGAGCGCGCGATCTCTGGCTCAGCACAGAGAAAATGACTTCTTGCTCGCAGGCAAGCTGAACCCACGCAGTCAGCTCTTGATTGCCCATTCACAAGCGCCGGCGCTGGGCATATATAAAGGCACCTGTCGGCACGCACCACAGCCAGCACAACCTTCGTGGACGTCCACCTGCCTCCCTCCTACACCTGAGCTCCGTCTCCAACAGCATCATGAGCCGCCAGTTCACCTGCAAGCCTGCATCGGCCGCCAAGGGGGGCTTCAGCGGCTGCTCGGCCGTGCTCTCCGGGGGCAGCTCATCCTCCTTCCGGGCAGGGGGCAAAGGGCTCGGCGGGGGCTTCAGTAGCCGGAGCCTCTTCAGCCTAGGGGGCGCCCGGAGCATCTCCCTCAACATGGCCAGCGGGAAGAGCGGAAGCTATGGATATGCCCGGAACCGGCCCAGCGGCTTTGCGGGCAGCATGTTTGGCAGCGTGGCCCTGGCGCCCGTGTGCTCGACGGTGTGCCCACCTGGAGGCATCCACCAGGTGACCGTCAACGAGAGCCTGCTGGCCCCCCTCCACGTGGAGCTGGACCCTGAGATCCAGCGGGTGCGCGCCCAGGAGCGGGAGCAGATCAAGGCGCTGAACAACAAGTTCGCCTCCTTCATTGACAAGGTGGGTCTGCCGGGACTCGGGGAACCCACTCAGAGCGTGAGATGTCGTCGCAGCAGGAGGGATTGAGGTTAGATAGGAGGGCGCACTTCCAGTGGACAAAGCAGGTGCCGTCCATCTTCAGGGTCGCCTCGGGGAGAGCCTCTGTGCTATCTCTCGGGCTTGGAGAGGGGGAAGCAGACGCCTACAAGGAGTGTTTTCTGGAGATCCAAGGGAGAAAGACCCGGTCCTCGCTCCTGGGGGCCGGCTTGGTGCCCTTGCTAAGCCGCGGGGCCACACGTGCAGAAAGGGCTCGAGTCTCCAGGGGGGCTGCCCCCTCCCAGGCCGTGCTGGCCTCGCCTGCCCGCTGCGTGCCCGACGGACAGACAGCAAGCCTCACTTGCGGTAACCTGGAGCCCTCGGATTCGGCGTCTGTGCCCCAGGCTGTTTCTTTCATCTAGGCAAGGGTGCTGTTGACAGGCAGGGCAGTGCAGTGGGCTGTGAGATCAGACCTGGCTTCAACCCCGGAACCATCGCTGACCCGCTGGGTGGCTTTGGGAAAGTTACTGGGCGTGTCTGTGCCTCAGTCTCTTCCTTCTGAGAGGGGACATAACCACCGACCTCTTGCGGGCGGCGTCAGCTGTATAAAAGAAAATGCACGCACAACCTTGGCACGGCGCCCACCGTGCCACATACACCATGGAGGGCAGCTCTTGTCTCCACCTTTCCTTGACCCCTGGACGCTAGGGGAGGGGGGCTGAGGAGGAGAGGGATCACGAATTCTAAAGGACACCCCAGGAATCCCCTTCCCCCCTACCCCCCAGAGAGGCAGGTGAGAAATAATTACCTCTATTTCATGAGTCAACCACCAATGTCAATGCCGTGCCCAGGGCCATTTGGGGGAAGGGAAAGGGGAGGTTGGACCATTAGCCTCCCGCCTCCTGTCCTGGAGGAAGGGCCTAGCGGGCTCTCTTGGCTCCCTCCAGGGACAGGGCAACCTAAGGCCAAGCCTGTGGCTGAGACTGTCCCTGGCCACCAGTGCTGAGGGTCCCCTGGGGCCCTAGATGTCTTGCCTGGTTGACTTCCCACTGCCCCCTGCTCAGCCTGAGCTCTGTGGCATCTCCCTGCCTGAAGCCTTTTGCATTGGGAACACAGAGGTATTTGGAGGCTGAGGGTCTGGGGGATGAGAGGTGCCTGCCCTTTGCCAGGGTTGATCAGACCCTGTGGTTTGGAGACACGAAAAGGAGGATGTCTGTCCCACAGGGTGTTTGGCATGGAGGGAGTGGGAGGTAGCTGTGAGTTCTGGAAGGTTCCAGAATAATCCTATGGGCAGTCCACGGGGCTCCGGTAGTGCTGTCCTGTATGCCGGGCTTACTCTGTGGGTTATGCCCAGGTTCCTGGACATCCATAGCAACCAACCACAGCCGACTCACCCTGTCTCTACAGAGTCCCAGTCTCCTGATCTCACCTGTCACCTTTTAAAAGCTGCGCCCCACCAAAACCAAACAAGAGAGGTGCATGCAGGTCAAATTCCCCTGCTCGGTCTCCTGGTGCAGCGAGGGGCTGCTGCAGGGCGGGGAGCTCTGGCTGTCCACCTTGCGCCCACACACGGTGCTTGTCTTGGGGAGCGTGGCTCTGAGGAGCAGGACTAAGGGCAAAGCAGAAGGGCAACAGGCAAAGATGAGCTGTAGCCCGACACAGGAATTTAGAATATCCAAGGGGCAGGTGTTTAGCATGGCCATTAAACCACGGCTTGGGACGCCCACCTCCCATATCGGAGTGCCTGGGTGCCGCCTCTGATGCACCTGGGAGGCAGCAGGTGGTGGCTCAAGTCCCTGGGGCTCTGCCACCCACGTAGGAGACTTGGATTGAGTTTTGGGCTCCTGGCTTCCAGCCTAGCCCAACCCTGGCCATTGTGGATATTTGAGGGAATGAACCAGTGGATAGGAAACCTCTCTGTCTCTCTCTTTCTCTCTATCTCTCTCTTTCTACCTTTCAAGTAAATGAACTATTCAGAAGCCCTCTGCCCAAGCCCCGCCGAGCTATGGCAGGCTGTAGAATGAAAAACAGGGGTTCTCTGCAGTACGCTGACCCTCTCCATTGGAACAGACCCAGCCTAGCTTCCGAACCATGTTTCCAGGAATGCCCTGCCCTGGGCTGCTCTGGCCATGGTGGTCCCTGAGTGATAGCAGGCACAAGAGACCATGACACGTGTCTGGGTTCAGGTCTTCTAGCAAACCACTGGGCCCTTGAAAGAGGCCCAGTTTCTTCCCCCACCAGATGGGGTTATGGGTTCCCCACCTTGTGCAGGTAGAGCACTCAGCACGCCACCCCGGGAGCAGCAGGTGTGTGTGTGTGACTCTTTCTCTGGGGACTCAACCATGTCTGGACTTGGGGTCCCAGGTGCGCTTCCTGGAGCAGCAGAACCAGGTGCTGGAGACCAAGTGGGAGCTGCTGCAGCAGCTGGACCTGAACAACTGCAGGAACAACCTGGAGCCCATCTTCGAGGGCTACATCAGCAACCTGCGGAAGCAGCTGGAGACGCTGTCCGGGGACCGGGTGAGGCTGGACTCGGAGCTGAGGAGCGTGCGTGACGTGGTGGAGGACTACAAGAAGCGGTGAGCGGGCAGAGGGCAGCCAGGGGCTTCAGGGACCCCCAACCACTGCCCCAGCTCAGCGCGTGTAGACGGGGAAGGCAGCAGGGGTGGCCATTGCGAGGAGCACCTCCCCAGCACAGCCGTGGAACGGGCTCCCTGCTTTTCCGATTTCTGGGTCCTGTCTCTGGGGCGTTACCTCCAGCTCAGGATAAAGACACCCTCGGATAAGCCGCTCCCGTTCTCCCAGAGCGCCTGCATCTCGTGGATAGCAGAAGGGAAGTGAGGACTGCGCCTCCCAGAGCCCAGGAGGAGTAGCGGGGGAGGTGCAGGCAGGAGCTCTTCCTCCAGGGAGCTGCTCAGCTGGCTTCCTGCGACCTCTGCGATTTCGTACAGGGCACGCACTCCGCCTGCTCCCTCCCCCTTTCCCAAGCTGGAGCTTGCACAGTCTCCTTCCGAATCTGGTCCCCAGGCCTCCTCCTCCTCCAGGAGGCCTTCCTTGACTGACCCCGACCTCAGCAGCTTCCCCCACCTACTCCCCCAGCATCTGTGCCTCTGTCCACGCTCAGGGTCTTCCCTGGGTGAGGGAGGGTTCCGGGTGAGACATCCTGACCCACGAGCCTGGTGTTCTCACAGGTACGAGGAGGAAATCAACAAGCGGACGGCTGCCGAGAATGAGTTTGTGCTGTTGAAGAAGGTGAGGGGAGGCAGCCCTGGGGGGCCGGGGGGGCCCTGCTGCTGGGGGACCGGGCTCAGATGTCCCAGGGCGCCCACCTGAGGAGCTGACGCTAAGGCTGGGCCTCTCACTCCTTCCTCTGCTTCCCCGGGAGCCACGTGGGGAGCAGATGGGTTTTCCTCCATGCCCCAAGCTCCCGGGCTGGGGTGGCTGTGGCCTTCTTGGCCGCCCCTGCGGTGACCGGGGCTGGCTGGGGCACCTTGCAGGACGTGGACGCAGCCTATGCCAACAAGGTGGAACTGCAGGCCAAGGTGGACTCCATGGACCAAGACATCAAGTTCTTCAGGTGTCTCTATGAAGGAGTAAGTCTGGCCCTCCCTGGCCCATCTCCCATGGTCGGCCATGGCCGCAGCTCTACCCGGGGGTGGGGGGTTGGGGGGAGACACAGGGAGGCCCCCTCGGTGGCATCTGTCTTCCATTTCATCCCCAAGAGGCTCCTGATTGTCCACTCTCTGAGCAGGAAGGGAAGGGGTCACCCCTTGCTCTTCACGGCGGGAATCTGCCTGGGGCACCCCCGCAGCCCTGGGCTCCAGTCTTGTCTCTCCATGCTGGGGCCAGGTGGTGAGGCTCCAGGGGTGGCTGAGCTGGGAGGCCATCTCCGTTTCCCCCCTCCCTGCAGGAGATCGCTCAGATCCAGTCCCACATCAGTGACATGTCCGTCATCCTGTCCATGGACAACAACCGTAACCTGGACCTGGATAGCATCATTGCCGAGATCCGCACCCAGTACGAGGACATCGCCCTGAAGAGCAAGGCCGAGGCTGAGGCGCTGTACCAGACCAAGGTGGGCTGGACCGAGGCCCGACCTGGGGAGGGGTGGGAGGCACTGAGGGCAGCTGGCTTGAGAGCATTCCCCTGCCCCAGCCCCATGTCACCAGCAGCCCTGAGACATCACGTACCCCAAAACGTGCTCCTCACGCTCACTCTCGCCTCTGTGCTTTGGGGTCCCTAGTTCCAGGAGCTGCAGCTGGCAGCCGGCCGACATGGGGACGACCTCAAAAATACCAAGAACGAGATCTCGGAGCTGACCCGGGTCATCCAGAGACTCCGCTCTGATATTGAGAATGCGAAGAAGCAGGTGAGGAGGGGCTGTGGCGTGTGGTCGTGGCTGACGAGCACGGGCAGACGGTGGCTGAGACGGCTCCTGGTAGCGCTCGCTGTTAACTTCCCACACCTGCTGTGCCCCTGCCCCAGACTGAGCCGGCTGCATTGTGCACTATCGTCTCCCCTGCCCAGGCACACTGCCTAGCACACAGCAACCCGATAAGCAAGTGTGGGCTTGGGAAGGAGACCGGGGTCTGGCTTCAGTAGGCAGGAGCCAAGATGCACACGGATGATGAAACAGCGGCAGTGTCAACCACTTTATCATCTCGTAAAGGTGCCAAGCATTGTGCTGGGCATACAGTAAGCAAATAATAGTTGCTCCTGAAGAATCTCCTTCCTGGTGCCCCTGGGGCAGCCAGCTGTCAATTGCACCTGCTGCCTGTACTCCAGTGATTTCTCCTCCTGGGCTTCAATGCTGCTCAGGAGCAGAAAAGCCAGGCTTCCATTCCTTTTCTTTGTGTCCTGGGCATCTCGGCACGGAGCAGAAGCTCTGCTCAGTTGGCCTTGGTCTCAGGAGGGCCGGGGATAGATGAATTCCCATCACCATCAACGTCTGGACGCAACAGCGAGAGCTTAGGAAGGAGTTCCCAGCCCCAGGAGGGTCCCACTGGAGCTGAAGCACGGTGGCACAGCCAGTGGGGGTGGGCATCTCTGTCCTGCAGTCTTAAAGACCCCGGCTCCACCCTCCCAGGTCTGGTGATGACTCCAAGGGTCCCTTCCAGCTCCCTGACTTCTACGATTCCTTGTTTAGGCATCTAACCTGGAGACGGCCATTGCCGACGCCGAACAGCGTGGGGACAGCGCCCTCAAGGACGCCCGGACCAAGCTGGATGAGCTGGAGTCCGCCCTGCACCAGGCCAAGGAGGAGCTGGCCCGGATGATGCGTGACTACCAGGAGCTGATGAGCGTGAAGCTGGCCTTGGACATGGAGATCGCCACCTACCGCAAGCTGCTGGAAGGCGAGGAGTGCAGGTGAGCTAGGGGCTGCTCTGGGGCCGGGGAAGTTTGGACAGAGCAGAGGGACAAAGCCAAGCATCCCCTAACACCCAGAGGGTGAGCTCTCGGGGACCGAGGGGCTGGTGATGGCCATAGTGGTGCCATCCGCAAGTGGAAAGAAGTAGCCACTTGTGACACACTGAATGTTCCTTCCAAATTAGCTGCTGTGCCCTGTGACACCTGGGTTAACTCAGCACACCTTCCCTGGGCTTATCTGGGAATAGCCTACTGACCCCTAGCCCCAAATCCCCACCCCTCTCTCACGTTTCTCGCTCCATCCCCCTTACCTGTCTGGGGGCAGTGAACTTGTAGGAGGCTTTATGGGGCAGCCATATAGCTCCTCTTTCCCCCCTGCCCCCGTCAACTGCAGGGAGATGGGAAGGCTTGGTGTACAGGCCTGACCTGGGAAAATGCACTTCCTACCCTCACTGTGTCCTCCTGCTAATTCTTGTTTCATTGGCATTGCCTGGCTACCCCGAAAGATTTAGGGGATGGTCCCCAAGGCTTCTCAAAATAGCCTTGAATTTCTACAGGTGCACCCACTATGTTCAGAAACTCATATAAAGGCAGGTGGGGGTGGTGACTTTGAGAAGTTCTGGTTGGCTGACCGCTTCCTCCTGCTTTGGTTCTCTCCTGAACAGGATGTCAGGGGAATATCCTTCCGCCGTCAGCATCTGTAAGTACCGCACGTGCTGTCACCTCCACCCTGCACACTTGCGAGGGCTTAGGCAGAGCTCAGATGAGGAATCTGAAACCAGGGGGGAAACTTGGCACAAAGCCAGATGGCAGCACCACGGCCACAAACGGGTCTCCTGGCTCCCTGCCCGGGGTGCTGTCTGTTCCCAGGCAGGCATGGCCAGGGAAGGCGGCTGCAGCGGCAGGGCGCCACAGCAGTGGCGGTGCAGCAGGGAAGTGGTGCGTGGACCTGCGTGAGGCTGAGGAAGCTGGGCGTGCAGGCTGTGGTCAGACCTGGAGGATTTGAGAATGCGGGGACCCAGACAGAGCCCAAGCTCACAGATCTGGCTCTCTGAGCGTCTGCTCAGTGGGGGCAGAGGTTAAACCAGGCACCCAAGAGAGCTGCTTTCCATGGGTCCCCTGCCAGGATGGGGGAATTGGAGACTGGAAGCTTGGCAAAGAGGCCCATATGAAGGGGTTCCAAAGACTTCATGGAAAAGTGGAATTAGAAGTTTATTTGGGGACAAAACATTTTTGAAATTCCTGGGCAGGTTTTTTTTTTTTTTCATACTATGCATTCCCATGAGCTTTTAAAAGACCCTTTGTAGAAGAGACAGTGGCTGGTGACCAGGAGGACAGGAGGTGTGTGTGTAGGTGCCTGGTGCCGGGGGATAGGCCTGAGAAGGGTGATGGGCAAGAGCCCATCTCCTTGGGTTTAAGCTGAGTGAGCTAAGGGCAGGACCTAGGAGGAGCTGTCTGGAATGTTCCACCAATGGGAGGGGACGGCATTGATTGGGGGCGTGGCACCCCAGCCCTTCCTGGGTGGGCACTGACCCTTGGCTCTCCCTGGGCAGCCATCATCAGTAGCACCAGCGGCAGCAGCGGCTATGGCTTCCGGCCCAGCACGGTCAGCGGGGGCTACGTGGCCAACAGCGGCAGCTGCATCTCCGGAGTGTGCAGTGTCCGAGGCGGCGAGGCCAGGAGCCGGGCCGGTGCCAGTGATTACAAGGAGACCCTGGGGAAGGCCTCCAGCCTGAGCACCCCCTCCAAGAAAGCCAGTCGGTAGAGAAGCTGCCCTGTGCCCCCTCTCACTCCAGGACCCCTACCCACCCACCCACCCACACACTGGTTTCCTTGCTATGTTCTCCTCAGCTCACTGTCTACCCCACCGCCACCCTGCTGGTCCTGCTCTTGGCCTCTGGGCACCAGCCTTGGCTGACCCACTTCCCCTGCCATGTCTTCTGAGCCTGGACGGCACTGGGCAGGCACACCTGGTGTCATTGACCCCTGCACCCCCAAATCTTCCCCTCCTGCCCACAGTGCAGGTCAGGCCCTGGCTCCTTGGCTGTCTCCTCTTCTAACCAGCCTCTGGCTCAGTCCTAGCCCCTCTGTCCGGCTCCCTGGGTGGGTCTCAGCCTGGGCTGCCCCCCACCACCACGCTGGGGGGCGTGGTCTCAGCTCCTGCCTGCACCAGGAGCTGGCTGTGAGTTCAAGAGAAGGAGGACTGAAGGACAAACAACCAAGAGTGGGCCCCGGCTCAGCCTCGTGGTTCGTTGCGAGTGGGACCAAGCGCAACTCAGCCTCTCTCTCCTCGTGCTCCAGGACCTGGGGGCAGAACAGAGGAGGCATCGCCACTTCCCCCACGTCCTGACTCTCCCTGTTGCATCCTCAATAAACAGCACGATCTGATAGCTGGCTCTCGGAGTTTTCAAAGACATACACGGACACAGTGCAGCTGCTCGCGAGCACATAGCACGCACATGGGGACACCCGTGCACACACCAACACGCGTGCACAAATACGCACATGCAGTCATGCACACACCGGCGTGCAAAGGCACATGCACACATAAGTACACTGCTGGGTGTTGCCCAGGCGGTTCCTGTGTCTGGTTTAACTTTCCCCATAGAGCAGAGGCAGAATAAAGACCAGGAACACGCCCACAGCACAGGTGCAGGAGCACACGTGGGGGTGCAGGTGGACTCAGCGTGGAGCCGTGCCGGGCTGAGGATGAGGACGAGCGAGAATAGAGAAGGAAGGGGGTGCACACATACTGCTCAGTGCTCTCAAGAGATGCGTGAGCTGTATCCTGAGAGAAGTGGCCATCCCCTGACGGGGACGCTGGCCTCTTTCCAGGGCTGCCTCTTTCCCTGCAGGAGCTGGGCGTCGTCACTTATCCTGCCCTCTCCTCACTGCTCAGAGGCCTGGGTTCTGGAGGGGGAGCCAGGAGGGGTGGAGCCAGTGGGAGCTTCGCTCTGGGCCCCTTTGCTGGAAAGGTGACATGGGCAGCAAGTTCCTGGAGCCTGAGGCTGCTGTGCAGTGAGTTGGGGACCCAGACTGTGAATTTCAGTGGCTCTCTGCTCCACACTCCTGTGGACCCCATGGAGCCACTGTCTTGATGCCAGTCCTGCCCTGGGTGGGGGGAGACAATGGGCACATCCCCCACCCAGCTCTGAGGCTACAGAGGGGAGGTGGTGGAAGAGGGGCAGGGCATTTGCTGGGGGTGGGGAGGATGGATGGAAGCCGAAGTCTTTTTTTAAAAGATTTATTTGGAAGTCGGAGTTTCAGAGAGAGGTAGACACACACACACACACACACACACAGAGAGAGAGAGAGAGAGAGAGAGAGAGAGAGGTCTTCCATCCACTGGTTCACTCCTCAGATGACTGCAACGGCCATCGCTGAGCTGATCTGAGCCAGGAGCCAAGAGCCAGGAGTCAGAAGCTTCTTCTGGGTCTGCCATGCAGATGCAGGGGCCCAAGGACTTGGGCCATCTTCCACTGCTTTCCCAGGCCATAGCAGAGAGCTGGATTGGAAGTGGAGCAGCTGGGACTTGAACTGGCTCCTATATGGGATGCTGGCACTGCAATCTATGGCTTTAACCCTTTGCGCCACAGCACCGGCCCCAAGAAGCCCAAGTCTTTATAGTCAGCGGGCACCAATCCTTTCGCAGAGCAGCCACCCTAATGGCAGTGTTTGGGGACAGGCCAGAGCTTGTAGAAGAGCAGGGGTTCAGGCACACTGGGGCGAGAAGAGGAACTGAAATGGAAAGGGAGGGCTTGCAGGAGGGGCTGGATGGACAGAGTTGGCACTCTGAGAGCTCCGAGTAGCGCCCAGGGCCTGGGGCAAGGCCATGGAGCCAGGCTCAGACCCCAGCTGCCTGGGAGGTAACATAGAGCTCCTGCTTGCCCTCAACTGGAGGTCCAGGGCACCATCTAACAGGTGCAGGTGGAGGAGAGAGAGAGAGAGAGAGCAGACGGAGGCAACAAGTTTGTTTCCTTGGCTGACAAGTGTGGCCTGTGTGTATGCATGTAAATGCATGTGCGCATACACATATGTACACGCACACACGAACACACATGCACATGTTTTTGCATGTGTGCATGCATGCATTCATGCATGTGTGTGCATGTCTGTGTGCACGTGCATGTGTGAGTTTGTGAATGTGTGCACATGTGCGTGTGTTTCTAGTACATGGCACAGACATTGCCATCTTCCATAATGGCCCCACACAGGGCTGCAGCCTCTGCTCCCTGAAGTGGCACACCTGAAAGATCTTTGTGATCAGGAGAGCGGGTACAGGGCTCTGGCTGCAGCCCCAAGGTTGTCCTTGGTGCTGCCCCTGCCTGCTCCGCCCCACATGGGGTGAATGTGGAAGACGCCTCCCTGGTGTCCTGGTGGGTGGCGGCCTCTGTCCAGCCCAGCAGGAGTTGCTCTCTTTATGTCACACTGGAGGACCTATGGCCAGAGAGGGGCCTGGGTTCCTTGTCCTTGAGCTCTTCCCTATACCCCGTGCTAGGACAGCACTGGGCTCCCCAGTCGTATGGGGCCAGGCTTTCCAACAGCTATATCAGCATGGTCTGTGGCCCCCTGCAGCAGAGGTGGGGGGAGCATCTCTGCAGACACCCGGGGAGGGGGTGAGGGTAGGGGTTAGGTCCACACCGTAGCAGGGGTGAGGCCTGGCCCTTCCTCCCCTCCTGGGCGTGGAGGGGCCTTCAGCAAGAAAGCAGAGCTGGGGCCATGATGGCAGGGCTGCTTGGGACTTGGGTTTATACCCAAGCCCATCCTGGTGGCTCTGGAGGACACGGGGATTCGGGTGCCCTGGAACCATGTGTGGCCTGGTTTCCCCGGGTTGCTGAAGCTCACGTTCCAATCCCAGTGGCAGGCGAGCCTCGGGTGGGGTGTGTGATGGAGGCTGAGGCAGAAGGCATAGCCGTGTGTCAGGCGATGGTGTGGGGGCGGGGCCTGCGGCACCAGGTGAGAAAAAGGAAGGAACAGATCGCAGGTACACAGAGCGCTGGGTGGGCTGCGGGAGCGCCTCCCTGCCTGTCCCACCGTGCTGCCTCCCTCACCCCCAAGCTGCGCTATGCGCGGCCAGACGCGGGAAAAACAGAGAGCAGAGCTCTCCCCGCCATGTTCTGGGAGCTTCTGTTTCCCCCAGGAGTGGGGGATGCAGCTGGAGGAAGACTTGCAGGTGCTGATGGCAGAGTGGGAGCCTCAGGGTGTCCCAGGGGAACACAGCTGCCTGGTCCCGGACAGGGTCGGGTCATTGTGAGCAGGTTCCTGCAGCAGGAGGGGGCTTCCTGGGACCCCCCCCCCCCCCCCCGATACCTCCCCGCCCAGTCACCAACACAGCAGAGAGAAAGGGGAATGACAGAGAGACGGCAGGGTGTCTCCTGGGCTGGAAATACAGATGGGTCAGGGACAATAGGGCTGGGGCCCGCGGGCAAGGGCAGGGCCTGGAGACCCCTCCAAAGGGAGGAGGGGGCGTGGCTGCCGCCACAGTGGAAAAGGAGCTTTGAGGAGTTCTAGGGGTCCACAGCTGGGAGTGGCCCTGGGACACTGAGCCGTGGGTCATGCCGGTCATGGACAAGGGAAGCGGGCAGCCTCAGCTCACCTCTGGAGGGGGCAGGGAGAGCAGGAGGGGGTCCCTCGTGGCACTGGGGGTCAGGCTGAGGCAGCCGGAGACCCCCCTGCATTGGCTGCTGGCCACTCTCTGTCCTCCTGTGGGAGGCCTCACCCGCAGCTCGTCCTTGCACGCCAGGCCCAAAGCCCAAGGCCGGGCGGATGGAAAGTGAGGCTCACGGAACAGCTCCCACGGCCCAGGTGCTGGAGGCCGGGCTCGGCACCTGCCCTCGCTGGGGTGTGTTCCTCCCAGGACAGAGGTGCCACAGAGCCAGGCTTTGGTGAGGTCTGTCTCTGCCGAGCCCACGCTCGCACGGCGGCTCCTCCCTACCTCACAGCCGAGGAGCACCTGCTGCTGCCCACCCATCCTCCCTGCCCATTTTCGGCTGGAACTTCTGGAACATTCTGTGAGCCGGAGCCTGGTGTCTCTGGGTCCCAGGCACTGGGCTGGGCCTCCTGTTCCCTGGCTTCCTTGTCACCAGCTGCTGGGGGAAGCTGCAGCCCTGTGTCAACTCTAGGTCACAGCACCAGGTCCCGTTAGTGGTGGGGGGCACCAGGACAGTGGTGAGGCTGGCTCAACCGTCTCTTCTCTTGAAACCCTGAGGCAGAGGCAGAGACAGGAAGGGTCGGAGGGAGGGAGAGAGGCGTGGGGGAGGAGGTGGGGGTCAGTGTGGAGGGCAGCGGCTGTGAGGTGGGTGGGTGTGTTACTCAGGGTCCCACAGAGGGACAGAACCAATGGGATATGCACACAGGTACAAGGAAGCAGCACACGAGGGTCACTGGCTCATGATAGCAGATGGCGAGGCTTAAAACAGATGGCTGGCAGGCTGGAGACCCTCGGATGCAGGGAGCAGGGCTCAGCCCAAGCCTAAGCCCAAGGAGAGCCCAGGGTGTCCCTCCCACTTCAAGGTCGACAGCCCGGGGAGCCAGGCGGGGAACACCCAAGGCAGCGGCGGGGGGGGGCATGTCCCAGCTCTCATGGTCGGGGGACCAATTTCCCTCTCCAGGCCCCCAGTGGACTCTTGGCTCCTCCCACACGGCTGAGGTTGGCTCCTCCCACCAAGTGGTCTCATTTGGCAACAGCTTCCCATCGCCTTGGTCCCTTTTGTGCAGCAGACTCTGTCTTGCCACCTCCGTGGGGTTCACTCTTCATTTATTTATTTACTTTTTTTGTATGTTTCAAACAATATAAATTTGTTTTCCATCACCAGCGACACGTTTCCCATTTATACACGGTAATGGCTGGCCAATGAACACTAAGGAGTTTAAAAGCACATGCTGGGGCCGGCACTGTGGGGTAGTGGGTAAAGCCGCCACCTGCAGTGCCAGCATCCCACATGAGCACTGGTTTGAGTCCCAGCTGCTCCACTTCTGATCCAGCTCTCTGCTATGGCCTGGGAAAGCAATAGAAAATGGCCCAAGTCCTTGGGCCCCTGCACCCGCGTGGGAGATCTGGAAGAAGCTCCTGGCTCCTGGCTTCGGATTGGTGCAGCTCTGGCCATTGAGGCCAACTGGAGAGTGAACCAGGGGTTGGAAGACCCACCTCTGTAACTCTGACTTTCAAATAAATAAATAAATAAATCTTTTTAAAAAAAGGCACATGCTGCAAACTTTATTATGCTATCTATAATTAGATAAATGCTTCACATCAACATAGAAACATTATTAGTTACCTAATTATTTTTTCAAATTTGCTCATACACATTAAGCTTCTTTGAACCCTGTGTGTTAGCAACCACAAATCAGAGGGCATGTGCTACTTGTCTTTTTGGGGTCTGGCTTAT